GTCCTCCTTCTCCTCGTCCTCTCCCTCGTCCTCCGCCCGCCTCCTCCCCGTCGTCCCTTTGTTTCTTGTGTTTTCCGGCGCAGTTGGGATTTCAGGGCACGATGGGCGACCGGGTGGTGGGCCGTGCGTGGACAGGGCGATGCGCTGGGGGAGATGCGGCCACCTCCTTGTCCCCCTGTCCACTTCCCCGGCGCACGGGCAGGCAGGCAGGCGGTGCCGGGTGGACGGGCCTTGGCTTCTGGGCGCTCCCGTGGAGCCGCAGGGCCCTCCGTGGTCGCATGAGGATGAGGATCGCGACGGTCGAAACGGGTGCGGGAAAGTTGGCCCGAAAACCACCTTTGCTCACTTCCCATTTTTCAACCCGTCTCGCTGTCGGCGTCGCCTGGACGCTGTCCATTTCAGACAGGCGGTCGCATGCCCAACAGCGGCCGCAGTCGGTTTGGGACAACATTTGCTGTCGGGCATCGTGGTCATGTTTATCGTGCGCATGGGCGCATCTCTGGTGCGCCAAGAAGAAGAGGGAGGGAGGACGGGAGGGCAATGGTGGGAGGAGATGGGGGGAGGAGGGAGGAACTATGGGAGGAGCGTGGGGCGATAAGGTGAAGGGAGGGGGGAGGGAGGGTGGACGAAGAGGTTGGTGGAGAAGGGAGCAATGTGGAGGAATTGGAAGGAGGAAGAGAAGGAGGAGGCGGAGGTGGACGGGCAACGCTAAAAGCACAGCACGTAGATTCCGCTCAATCCAAAAAGGAGAGTGGAGGAGGAGGACGAGGATGAGGACGAGGACTAGGCTGAGGAGGAGGAGGAGGAAGAGGAGGAGGAGGAGGGTCTGGAGGAGGAGGAGGTTGGAATTCGGGCCCCTGGTTCAGGACCACGCATTGGGCGCCGGCGCGGGCATGCTGCCCCCTCCAGGGCCGCGGGGGGAGGGGGAGGGAGAGGGGACCGAAGGGCGGCTCAGGGCTCTGAGCGCCGCCTCCGTCCCGTCAGTGGCGGTGTCGTCGTCCTCGTTGTTTTTGTTGTCGCTGTTCGGACAGACGCTGAGACCGGCCTTGCCATTTTGAGGTTTCTCTCCAATGCCCAGTTGGTACTCTCGAGATGGAGCAGAGCTCCAGCAATCGCTGGCTTGCCCCACCAGGCCGGAGAAAGCGTTCGCCCTGGGGCGGCAGCGGCAGGTTCCGCACGGGGCTGGGGAAGATGGTGGTGACTCAAGCGGTTCTTGCTTGTGATCGCACATGGGCTTCGCGCGAGGCTCCCCAGAAAACAGTACGCAGCTAGTGCGAGTACACAAGGAGGTTCTCTGTACATTCCTATGCTCGTGCAGGTCTTCAGGAGTCCTACGGGATCCCAAAGCATTGTCAAGGATCCTTTTGAATCTGGAGGACTCTCCAGGGATGCTGAGAAATCTTAAGGATTCCTCGTTCATATGTTGGGATATTGAGGGGTGCTGAGGGATCCCGAGATGTCATGACGATCCTTGAAACGTTCTTGGAATCCTGAGGAGCCCTGAATGACCCCGGCGATTCCGCAACGTGCCGGAGAATTCTCACAACACCAAACGATTCGATTGCACTCTAGAAAAATATTGTGAATTTCGCAAGGATCCACAGGAATTCTCGGGATGAGCAGGATCCCCGACGATTCCCCATCATCACCCGCATATCACCGTAGATCACTGAGCCTCCTTCGAAGACTTACAGCATGATCCCGTGACACCAAGTGACCCGTGGACCTAAACCCCGTCCAGATACATCGTGATCTGAGATCGTGACACAACCAAGAAAACTTGTTCACTATGTACCATGCCGCCCATGTCCAGTTCCCACTCGGATTACAGCACTATCCCTGCGCAGTTCCGATCAAGTCCCGTAATATCCTCCTCCCAGTCCCACTGGGTAGGTCCCCAACCGAGCGGACGTCAACAGGCCGCAAGCTCCAACAAGTTACCCAAGGGGGGGGGGCGGTTGAAGTGAGGGCACGTCCACGCAGGTGTGTCGGTCAAGTGTGCGGCTCCATCCCGCAGCCGCAGTGAGCGCTCTGCCGCTGAGTTGCTTATCCCGGCAAAAAATATTACTGCTCAGCCCCCCGTCGGGCGCGAGCATTGCGTCACAATAGCAACGGGTCCCGCTGGATTTCCGGCAGTTCACAATAAATCTTACAATAAATCTCAGCTTCGCTCCAGACTTCCTCGCGAATTGCCGAAGATGCGCGCTCTCGCGCGGGACGTCCTAAGAACTCACTCGGACGCCGCACTCCTCGACGTGCTGGATTCCCGCTTCCCCACGGAGCGTCGCCGTTTCGCCAGGCATCGTTAGGGGGCCACGTGCGAACCCTACCCCTACCCCCCACGATTTCGGAGGGGGAGGGTGGGGTTCACTTCCTTCGGGAGCTCCCAAGCGAAGTGAACCCCACCCTCCCCCTCAGAAATCGTGGGGGGTAGGGGTAGGGTTCGCACGTGGCCCCCTCATCGTGCCCTCGCCCGAGGCATCTCCACAATTTACGACGTGCGCTCCCGTGCCCCGCCCGCCAGTCGGGGTCTGCCCGCCCGGCCCGCCCGCCAGGGTCCGCCCTCCCCACCCGCCTGCCAAGGGCCGCCCGCCCGCCCGGCTCGCCCGTGAGGGTCCGCTTGCCGATCTTGTTGTTACTCGTCCCTCCTCCCCCGTGATACAGTCAACCCGCATAGTAAGGATGGGCAGCATTCCCAAGGGTACCCCTGCACCCTTGCCTCCTCGGCCCATCCTTGGCCAGTCTCGTTGGCTGCGCCCCGCTCGAACAGCTCCGAACTGGGCGTCCAAGGCCCTTGCATCCTTATCGCGCATCCTTACTCTACGGGGTGACTGTATTGTCGTTGTCATCGTTACCGTATCTTTCTCTTGCCCTCCCCCGCCTCTCCTCCCTTCGTCGCTCCCTCCCTGTTGCCTCTCCCCCTTCTCTTCCGACGTCAAGTCTTGTTGTTACTCGTCCCTCCCCCCCGTGATATTGTCGTTGTCATCGTGACCGCATCTTTCTCTTGCCCCCCCCTTCCTCTCGTCCCGTCATCGCTCCCTCCCTGCTTCCTCCCCCCCTTCTCTTCCGACTTCCGGGGCAACTGCACGTCGCACGCAAGCAGGTCTCTTCCGACGGGGGGCACGATCGAAGACGAACAGGGCGGGTATCGAATGCCCGTGTGCATACGTGTTGAATGGCACGCGAGTGGTGAAGAGCGAGCAGTTTTGGAATGAGTGCTGTCGTTGTTGGTCTTCATCATCCTTGATACCCTTCGCCTTCTTCCGCCTCCACCCTGCTGCTCCTCCCACTGCTCCCTGCTCTTGTCGCTTCCGGCTTCTCTTGTCTCGTTATCTTCCTACTTGCTTCTCCTCATCCTCCTTCCTCCCTCTTCTCCACCCTCCTCTTGATCTTCTCCTCCTCCTCCTCCTCCTCCTCCGTTTCATCCTCACATCCTCTGTCTTTATCCTCCCTCTCGCATGCGTGGTGTTTGTTGTAAGTCAGTTCTCGCCATCCCCTTTGTATTGATCGTCCCCGTTGAGAGTTGTTCCGAGTCATTAAGGCATGGTTTCTCATTATTTTCCAGAGAGCGGCATTGGATGCAGAGCTCGGCGCAGCTAGATACAGGCCCTCGAATCGCTTGCCCGCTCGGCTTCCGGCGCTACCGCCGCCTCCCAGCGCCCCATCGTCCGCATCGAGTTTGCATCCTTGCCTCCCTATGGATTCGCCATATCGTGCCGCCGATCTTTTTTCATGGAACTGGTACTGGATTGGTTGAGGTATGCCGCGGGAGGCCTCGCAGAATTCGTCCTCGGAGACTGGCTGCTGTTTTGTATTGTACGTGGGAAGGCGCGTACTTGAGCGTACCAGGTGTCTGGAATGCGGAGAGGGGGGTGGAGGCAAACAGGTCACAGTGTACCAGAGTTCTTCCCAGCGTGGGGCTGACGGTGCGCGCATGCATATCACTAGCTGCGTGTAAGTAGGTGCATGTTGTTTGGCACGAATGAAAGAATACAGCCGCGCTTTGACGGCGCATCGCAACCCTTGAACTTGAGATGAGCATTGACATGATTGCGCGCACAGACAGTGCACACGTACATTGACCTGAAACGGTGCTTCGGGTAAGATACTCGGATTTCATACAACATAGCATTAACCAAATTTCCTGGCGGTCCGCGCGGGTTTCTCGGATCGGCGTGGCCCCCCGTGACGACGCCTCCGGCGCCGCCCCTGGCGCGATTTGCCCGCCAGGCAGGTGGGGTTCCCTACGCCGAATCCAATCCAAGACATCCGCGCGGACATCCCAGAAATTTATGCTCAGTCTGGTCACTGTCCCACTACGTAGGCTCGGCCTCTGGCCGGCACGGGCACCCCGACCCCCCAAGCGTCGCGGCTCGCGCACCGTGCCCCGCTCATTGTGTTCGGGGGGGCTCAGATTTAGGGACGGGCAGTCAACTCACACAGCCTTGCCTTCGAGAATAAGTCAAACTGCGCAAACACAGGAACGTTCGGAAGGCCGCGCGGACCTTCCCCTGCGTATGGTCCTGCTGGTTTTGTTGGTGTTGTCTAAGCTTGGCGTTGCTCGACGATGGTCGTGTTGGGTTTTGTTGGCTTCTCGTTTTGTCCAGGTGCGACGGGCGACCGGTGAAGCAACGCTTCTCGGATGCAACGAGTATGTTTTGGACTATGTGTTCTTTTCCGAAGTCCGCCTGTAGGAGGACATGCCCGACCAACACTTACCTGCCCGAATGCGCCCGTGTCGAAGCGCAGCAGCACGCTGCGTGTTGGCTCGGCACGTGCTGGCCCCACGCGTTGGCGAAGGTGCATCGTACCAGGCACGCGTTTTCGATCTTCGTGTGGAGCTCCGTGCCACTGGGCTCCAGGGGTGCGTGTTGCGCATCCGGCAGCTAGAAGTGGTCACGTGTCGATTCTATGCTCCGTCGCTCTGCTTTGCGCATGCGCTTGAGCAGGAGGTCGAGCGAGCGGGGAACGGGGTAGTGTTGAGCTGCTGTGGTGTCTCAATGGGCGGGCTGGAGGCCACCATCTCCACCGCCAATGCCGATGGCTCCATCTGTGATGGTCGGCTGCTCGCTCCTCCAGATGTACGTCCTAGCATCCGCAACCAAAACTCAGCATTCTCTCTTGGATACCACACGAATTATGGGTGAGGTGTCGCATCGTGCCAGATCTGTCTGGCGCGCTAAAATTATTCGGAAGCAATGTTATTCAATATCACGTTCACTTCCAATCCTCTCCATGCACACCTAAATCCATAGACAGACGTCGTTCCTACTGTCCATAGTTTTTTTATGTTCTCTTCCTGTATTTCTCTCTCTCTCTCTCTATGTATACGTATCTGCATATACATGTAATTGCTCATCCGTCAGTATCGGAGGTGAGGGGGTGAGATCGAAGTGGAACGGAGAGCCCCCCTACCGGGAAATCGATTTCGGTTTCGTGTTCGTGCGTGCCGTGCGTGCGGGCGAGGCGAAGCTGAATGGGCGGGCGAGAAGAAAGTCTCCTGTGGCTGAGGCGCGGCCGGACCAAATGTCTCCCTTCCGGGCGGCCGGTGGCCCGCGGTGTCCCGCCGGTGTCCCGCGAAAGTCCCGTGTGGCTGAGGCGCGGCCGGACCAAATGTCTCCCTTCCGGGCGGCCGGTGGCCCGCGGTGTCCCGCAGGTGTCCCGTCGGTGTCCCGTCGGTGATGATGATGATGATGATGATGATGATGATGATGATGATGATGATGATGATGATGATGATGATGATGATGATGATGATGATGATGATGATGATGATGATGATGTTGATGATGATGATGATGGTGATGATGATGGTGGTGATGATGGTGAGTTCGGTAGTGAGACCGAATGTGAGATCGATTGTGAGATCGATTGTGATATCGATAGTGAGGTCGATAGTGAGACCCAATGTGAGATCGATAGTGAGATCGATAGTGAGTTCGATAGTGAGATCGATAGTGAGACCGAATGTGAGATCGATTGTGATCGATTGTGATATCGATAGTGAGATCGATAGTGAGATCGAACGAGAGGTCGATCATGACTTCGATAGTGAGTTCGATAGTGAGATCGATAGTCAGATCGATTGTGAGATCGATTGTGACATCGATTGTGATATCGATAGTGAGATCGATAGTGAGACCGAATGTGAGATCGATTGTGAGATCGATTGTGAGATCGATCGAATGAGATCGATAGTGATATCGGTAGTGAGATCGATCGTGAGACCGAATGTGAGATCGATCGTGAGATCGATAGCCAGATCGATTGTGAGATATATTGTGAGATCGATTGTGATATCGATAGTGAGATCGTTAGTGAGATCGAGTGTGAGATCGATAGCCAGATCGATTGTGAGATTGATCGAATGAGATCGATAATGAGATCGATAGCGAGATCGATAGTGAGATCGATCGAGTGCGACGGTGGTCCCCCCCCCCCTCGCCTCCTTATCACCCCAAGGGTGGTCTATGCGGTATACATATTCCTCGCTCTTCCCTCACTCTCTTCCGTTCGTTCCTGCCTTGTGATTCCGTTGTTTCTCTTTTTCTTGCTCTTTGTCTCTCTCTTTCTCTCTCTCTCTCTATATATATACACATGTATGTATGTATATTATCTGTCTCTTCCTCTGGGGCCATCTCGCTTGGTTTGCTTGTTGTTTACCTTTCTCGCCTTATCGATCTTTATATATCTCTGTCTCTCTCTCTCTCTCTCTCTCTCTTCGCAATAGCTCCGACCGCGAGGCGTACTGATAGGGACACTATTGTATTGACGAGCCCTTCATGCGCTGTCTGCTGGTGGTTCGTCAGGCAATTGCGGAGCATTCGATTGTCGGATGGCCGTGTTGCACGTTCCATGCGTACGATGCCCGTTTCCCCGCCGGTCCTATTTGGGGATCGACAGACTGTTTGGCGGAGGTGCAGTTATCGGGCCATTGTTGCCCACCGGAAAGGTTGGCGCTCCTAGGTTTTTAGAACAGATGTTCCGTCTGCCCACCCTGCATACTGCTGTCTCGAGCCCCCATAGGAACCCAGGAGTCCCTGAGTATCCCGCCTCGTATCAACGAATGACGATACTATAGGGCGGTTGCCAGACCCCACAGAAGCCCAGGAATCTCTGAGTGTCCCGCCTCGCGACCTCGACGAATGACGACACCTTGCGTACCAGACAGCCCCGAGATGGAGGCGTTACGGTGTCATTCCGCCTAGAGCAAAGAGGCATGACCAATCGGCATGAAAATCACAGCACAGACAGACAGGCATCTCGCAACAAAGAAACTATGACGGTGCCGAGCATAACAGAGTATTGCATAACAGACCATACTAGAATGACCAGTTCATATAATACAGATGCATAACATGCCATGACATACATTAACTTTGCACAGAGCATTACATACAACATCGCATCACAGTGTAGTTCACACGACAGCATAGCAACCCATAATACGACAGAGCGGATCATTACATTCTGTCAGAGCCAAGAGCACCTCATCCCAGATCAAAACATGTTCTATTGCTGCTAGTACTACGGCGACGAGCATAGCATAGCTTAAAGGTTTCGGTTGTGTGTTCCATGGATAGCATACCAGCATATTCTACCATAGCAAACTTTGCCGAGTCGGATAAACCACGGAAGCACATACCATAACAACCAACACCATGACACAACATTTTGTGACAGGGCGGGGCAACACCGTGTATACCTTACCATAGCAGAATCGACCAACCATAATTGCTCTACTACTGCTGCCACTACGGCAACGAACATAGCACAACTTAAAATAACCTACTCATCAGAACAGAAGCGTCGCAACAAACATAACAAACAATCACATATTCCATTGTGCATAGCTTGCCAGGCCATAGCATAACACCACGTATTATACCATAGCATGCCATGCCATATAATTGTACGGCAGAGCACCGTGTCACACAACACACCGTATCAAACCATGCATATTCTGACTTCGCGTAGCGTAGCAAAGTATACATTTCATACAACGACAGACCATAGCATCATTGTTCGACTACGTGTGCAACTTGGGGAACCCATCACCGTTTAGTACATCTCCAGGGGCACAGCATTGAGTAGATCCTTGTACTAGGAAAGTGATGTAGAATGGTTCCCCTCGCCAATCTCCCAGCGCGCTATCTCTCAGGGCACCATCTCCCTGTGCGGACCTCCCAGCGCGCGACCCCCGCCCCCGGAGCCCCAGACATCCCAGAAGTTGAGGCAACAATTCAAAACCAAAATCGTTTGTTATTACTACAGTGCATGCGAAGTGCATTCCACATGTTTTAGAAAGGCGCACTTTTGTTCTTATTGGTTTCTCCCACACATGCAAACACCTGCGCTGTGTTTCCCCACCCTCCTGTGTTGGGTTCCCGTTTTGATTTGAGCATTGTGGTATCCATGCGTTCTCTTTCTACTTCTCCTTCACATCCCCCCTCCTCTTGCCCCCTCCTGCGCTGCTCCCTGGGTGGCTGCGAACTACGCAATCGTCGCCACTTTCGTGGGCTCCTGGGAGGCACATCGGAGAAGGGCTGCACGCGCACCCAGCCGAGACCTCGCAGGTCCCTGGGGGTTGCGAAGTACGCCATTGTCGCCATTTTCGTGGTTGGGAACTGCGCAACCGTCGCCACTTTCGTGGGCTCTTGCGAGGCACGGCGGAGAAGGGGTGTACGCGCATCCATCCGAGACCTAGCGGCTTCTTGAGGCTTGCGCAGTGCGCAATTGTCGCCACGTTTGTTGGCTCTTGGGCGGCACGGCCGAGTAGGGGAGTACGAGCATCCAGCCGAGACCTCGCGGCTCCCTGGGTGGCTGCGAACTGCGCAATTGTCGCCTTTCTAGTGGGCTCCTGAGAGGCACGGCGGAGTAGGGGAGGAGGCGCACACAGCTGAGATTTCGCAATTCCCTGGGTGGTTGCGAATTCTTCACGCTTCGCGTATCCCCACCAGCCCATCTCAAAACAGCAACTCTTGGGAAGCATGCCGGCAGTCGTGTTTTTCAGGCGTGTTTCCGCCTGCCCCCGCATATCTCCGGGCCTCTCGTCCTGGTGTGAGTCGTTCGGGCCCTTCTTCCTGGTGTGAGTCGTTCGGGCTCTTCGTCGTGGTTTGAGTCGTTCGGGCTCTTCGTCCTGGCGTGAGTCGTTCGGGCTTCTCGTGGTGTGAGTTGTTCGGGCCCTTCGTCCTGGTGTGAGTCGTTCGGGCTCCTCCTGGTGTGAGTCGTTCGGGCTCCTCGTGGTGTGAGTCGTTCGGGGCCCTCGTCCTGGTGTGAGTCGTTCGGGCTCCTCGTGGTGTGAGTCGTTCGGGCGCCTCGTCCTGGTCCTGGTGTGAGTCGTTCGGGCTCCTCGTGGTGTGAGTCGTTCGGGGCCCTCGTCCTGGTGTGAGTCGTTCGGGCTCCTCGTGGTGTGAGTCGTTCGGGCGCTCGTCCTGGGTGAGTCGTTCGGGCTCCTCGTGGGGGGGGCCTCTTGGGCTCTTGGGGCCTCTTGGGGGCCTCTTGGGGCCTCTTGGGGCCTCTGGGGGCCTCTTGGGGGCCTCTTGGGGGCCTCTTGGGGGCCTCTTGGGGGCCTCTTGGGGCCTCTTGGGGGCCTCTTGGGGGCCTCTTGGAGGCCTCTTGGGAGGCTCCTGGGGGCCTCTTGGGGCCATCTTGGGGCCTCTTGCGACCTCCTCAGAAGCGCAAAGGAGCGCTGCCCCCTGAGAAGGACAAAATGAGGCCAAAACCTTCGTAAAATCAATGATTTTGCGATGAAGGAAGAGGAGCGCGGCCCCCTCAGGAGGCCAAAATGGGGCCAACACCGTAGTGAAATCAATGATTTTGGCTTCAAAGAAGAGGAGAGGGACTTATCTCCGTCCCCCCGTCGGGGCCAGAATCCTCGTGAGGGTCGTCGTTTTTTAGCCCTCCCAGGAGTCGAAATGGACCCCCCTGACGACCCGCGGGGCGCCCTCTCCAGGCCCAGGGGGAGGGGGTAGGGGGAGGGGTAAACCCCTCCCCGAAGGGGAAGACGGGGGGTTGAGGACAGAGCGGGCTCTCTAAACCACTCACGCCCAAAGGGCTGGTGGGACTTCGCAAGTGTCGCCACTTTCGTGGATTCCTGGGAGACACGGCGGAGTAGGGGAGTACGCGCATCCACCCGAGGCCTCGCGGCTTCCTGGGTGGTTGCGAATTGCCTAACCGTCGCCATTCTCGTGGGCTCCTGGGAGGCACGTCGGAGTAGAGGAGTACAAGCACCCAGCCGAGACCTCGCAGGCCCCTGGGTCGTTGCTCCTGGGAGGCACGGCGGGGGAGGGGTGCACGCGCACCCAGCCGAGTTCTCGCAGGTCCCCGGGGTGTTGCGAAGTACGCCATTGTCACCACTTTCGTTGGCTCCTTGGAGGACCAGCGAGGGGGGAGTACTCCAGATTTCGTAATAAAGGGAGGGGGGTCTCATTTCGGGGGGGGTCTTTTCCAAGCTATCTTGGAGGGCCAGGGGGGGTCTGGGGACGATGTTTTGGAGGGTTCTCCCACGGGGGGGGGGGTCTGAAATGGCTTGTCTTGGAGGGTCCACACCCCCTCCCTTTTATTACGAAATCTGGAGTACGCACATCCAGCCGAGACCTCGCGGCTCCCTGGCGGACTGCAAATTGTTTCATTGTCGCCACTTGCGTGGGCTCTAGGGAGGCCCAGCGGAGCGGGAGAGCACGCGGGCCAAGCCAAGACCTGCGCAATTGTCGCCACGTTCGTGGGCTCCTGGTATGTCCAGCGGAGCAGGGTATCCTGGCAACGTGTTCTTTTGTATTGAGCTTCCCTTTGGGGAATAGTCGACTCGCGTTGATAAGGAGTTTGGTACGTCTCGGGCCGTCTCGGGCAATTATTGTTTCCAGGTTCTGCTAGCGTCGTACTGGGGTACTTCTGGGCTACTGCTGGGGTACTGCTCGGGTACTGCTGGGGTGCTGCTGGGGTGCTGCTGCGTCATGCTCGTCTGGAAAAGCCTGGCAACACAGCGAGCACTCAACTCTGACCAACAACTAGATGGAACCAAGTCGGTATTGACACAAGAAACAGTGTACTTGAACTGCAGCGATTTGCTATCTAGTGGGAACCTGCATTGTTTTTTACGCACATTGGCATGGCAAGTTGTTGTTTTGTCCATTAAGTTCGGGGGTGTCCGGGGCTCCGCCTCTGGAGACTGCGTCCTGGGATATAAAGCGCTGGGAGATTGCGCCCAGCGGAGACTGCGCCCTGGGAGGATTGCGCCATGGAAGGCTGCGCCCTGGGAGATTGCGCCTGACGGAGATTGCGCCTGGCAGAGATTGCGCCCTGGGGAGACTGCGCCCTGGGAGATTGCGCCTGGCGGAGACTGCGCGCTGGGAGACTGCGCTCTGGATGTGGATGGCGTTCTGCCACAGGCCGGGAAGTTTCTACCGCTCCACAAGGACAGGAAAACCAGCGAGTCGCCAAGCCACCCGCGACCCCGCCATTCGGGCGGCCATCCATGCGCGCGGCGCCCGAGAGCCAAGGGCTTCAAGGCTAGGCGCGCCCGAAGGTTCGCCGACGCACAGCTCGCCCGCGGCGTTGCGGCGATCAGCCAAGGGTCGGGAAGTTTCTACCGGCTTACAATGCAAAAGCAACGAGTCGTCAAAGCGCCCCGCCATCCCGCCACCCGGACACACACAAGCATACACGCACACACACACACGCAAACACCACACACACACGCACCACACAGACACACACACACACATACATACACGCATGCGCACACGCACATGCAAACACACACGCACACGCACACGCGCACGCACACGCACACGCATACGCGCACGCACGCGCGCGCGCACACGCACACGCATACGCATACACATGCACATACACATACACCAACACCTACACACACGCAAGCACCACACAAACCTCACATACACACATACCCCCACGCACACACACAGACACACGCGCGCGCGTACACACAAACATACGCGCACACACACAAACACACGCACACACACACACACGCACACGCTCACACTCAAACCAGCGCACACACTAGGACACACACACACACATACGCGCAAATACCATTCACTCACACGCACCACCCAGGCACACACACACATACACACACACACACGCACACGCACACGCAAACACACACACACACACGCACACACGCACACACACACACATACGCGCGCACTCGCACACACATACACACACGCGCGCACTCGCACACACACACACACGCATACGCACACTCATACACATATTCATACACATACACATACACATGCGCATACTCTTACACCTACACATACACATACACACACGCAAGCACCAGACACAACACACATACACGCACACACACACACAATACACGCACACGCACACGCACACGCACACGCACACGCACGCAAACACGCGCGGGCGTACACACATAGGCTCACACACCATACACACACGCACACACACACACACACACACACACACGCACACACATGCACACACACACACACACGCGCACACACACACACACTCACTACAGTGAACGGGGTGCTGCCTTTCCTCCTCCGCCTCCTCCCCCTCCTCCTCCCTACTCCTCCTTCCTCTCCTCCTCTCTCCTCCTCACCCTCCTGCTTTATGTTGTCAACTTTTCGATTGTTTAAGCATCAACCCTAAGCAATAGTGAAGAACCGTGGCTTCAACAGCCGCTTGGGGCCGCCTGGGGTTTTCAACGGAACACTGGTTGCCGCTGCCATTTGCCAGGTCCCCCTTGATCATGCCAACGCACATGTCGGATTCTGGCGCACCGCTGCCGTGGCGTGCGGGTCGGTAAGGTGACAGCGAACAGGCTTTCTGGCAACCGTTTGGGGAACGAAGCATGGTTTCTCCATCATGCCCCATCTCGTTCGCTTGCCTCCCCCTAGCCAGGGCCCCATGTGACTGCACATTTAAGTACGAGTAGGAGAGTATGAGAAACACGGCGGTCCACGACGTCGAGAAGAGATGGAGAGGAGGCGGAGGAGGAAGAGGAGGGTGATGATGATGATGATGATGATGATGATGATGATGATGACGATGATGATGATGATGATGATGATGATGATGATGATGATGATGATGGTGATGATGATGAGGAGGAGGAGGACGAGACCTTGGAGAAGAACGAGTAGGAATGTTGATGTAGCATGACAACCAACACATATTGTACATTGGGCAGCCCGTCACGCAGCAGCGCTGTGAGTGATGCATATTAGAGTTTGTTTCAGGTCTGCGCGGGGGCGCCGTCGTCATTGCCAGGATTGGGTCGTCCTCTCTTGAACCGAATCCTTCTAGTTATTTAAGTTACCTCTCTGCTTCTTGTTGCGTTCCGAGCCCCACCTTGCATGTTTGGAGATCCTGGGGAGGAGGAGCAGCAGCAGCAGCAGCATATTCTGAGGAGCGCCAGCAGGACGAACCGCAACGAATGGAAGAGAAGGAGCAGCAGGAGGCTGGGGAGGAGGAGGAGAAGGAGAAGCAGCAGCAGAAGGAGCAGGAGGGGGAGGAGGAGGAGGAGGAGGAGGAGGAGGAGGAGGAGGAGGAGGAGGAGGAGGAGAGAGGAAGAGAGGAGGAGGAGGAGGAAGAGGAGGAGAAGGAGGAGGAAGAGGATGAGGGGGAGGAGGAGGAGGAGGAGAAGAGGGAGAAGGACGAGGAGGAGGAGGAGGAAGAGCATCAGCAGTCGCAGCAGCAGCAGGATGATGAGGAGGAGAAGGAGCAGCAGTAGGAGGAGGAGGAGGAGGAGGAGGAGGAGGAGGGCTCAGCGCGGCGAGGTCGTGCAGCAGCAGCCCACGGTCGTGCAGTCGCCCGACGAACAGCCCGTGATTGTGCAGCTGCCTTCCCATCCAGGTCCGCCTCTCCACCTCGCGCTGTTTCAAATGATCCTCCTTGTTGCCCTCGTCGACGGGGAGGAGGAAGAGGAGGAGGAGAAGGAGGAGAACACGAAGAAAGAGGAGGGGGATGACCTATGCCCCCTTCCCCAACCCTAGTCATCGGTGCAAAGATCGAGGTCTTCGAACCGCTTCGGCCCCTCCTGGCCCCGGGCCTCCTGCTTGTCATCTTCTTCCCTGTCTTTCTCGTCCACCTCTTCCCCTCCCCCTCCTTCCTATTGGCCAGACTGTGAGCGTCTGAGCTCGCAGCGTCAAGCCCCCCTCCTCTTCCTCCCCCTCCTCCTCCTCCTCCTCCTCCTCCTCCTCCTCCTGCTCCTCCTCATTATTATTCTCATCCTCATCATTATTATCAGCAGCATCATTATCAGCATCATTATCACCATCATTATCATCATCTTCGTCATCATCATCGTCATCATCATCAGCAGCCTGGTATTGCCCTCTCCGTCCCGGACCTCCAGCGACTGTTCGGCCCCCGGGCTCCGCTCTCGAGCTGCAGGACCGTCAGATTCCGGCCCGTGACGAGCACCGCCCCCGTGGAAGGGCTGGGGCCCGCGCGCGTGAGCAAGTCGGGGCTTCGGCGGCGTGGGTCAGTCTTGCTCCTCCTCGTGCTGCTGCTCCTCCTGCCATCATTCCTCTTCTCCGCGTTATCCATCTCTGGGAGCCTCCCTCTCGGCGTCCCCCACCCTCCTCCTTGTCCCTCTCTCCCTCTCTCCCTCTCTCCCCCTCTCCCTTTCCCGGACCCCCTCGCTTGAGGACGACCGTGACGACGACGCCCACGCCGCCGCCGCCGCCGCCGACTACGGCGAGGACGACGCCCAAGACGCCGCGGCCGACGACGCCTCCGACGCCTGCGCAGACGACGACGCCCACGACGGCGAGACGGCGCCGACGAGACGGCGCCCACGGCGGCGCCCCCCGCGCAGGAGCCTCGCTGTGCCCGGCGTGGTTGGCGCCGCCCCCGCGGCGAGCGGCGCCGCCGCCCGGCGCGGGCGCCGCGCCCCCCGGCCCGCGCGGGGGGGGGGGGCTCATGTTCAGTCTCGGCACGAGCGAAATGGGTACGGAAAGAATGGGTGCAGTGCCCAACAGTAGTTCCTGCTCGTTTTGAACAGGACTCGCTGTCCACGCCGCCGCGGCCTGTGTCCATTCGAGACAGCAGGCCGCCTGCCCAACAGCGGCCGCTGCTGGTTTGGGGCAACATTTGTTGTTGGGCAGTGTACCCATGTTCTCCGTACCCATTCCGGGCGTCCACAAAGTCGGGCATGCCCCTCTCAAGGAGAGATATCCAAAACTAGTCAAAACAACATAGCCCAGGGACGGTTGTTCTCCGACCATGTTCGCCTATAGTTGCATGTTTGTTCTTGGCTATGCTCCATTGTCGTTCAGAGATCCGCCTGCAGGAGGGGACATGCCCGACCTGGGGCTCGTGCCTCGAGGGTGGGCAGCGGGGTGCTGCTGCTCCCGTGCCTCCCGCCTCCTTCTGCGCCTGCTCCTCCTCCTCCTCCTCCTCCTCCTCCTCCTCCTCTTCCTCCTCCTCCTCCTCCTCCTCCTCCTCCTCCGCCTCCCCCTCTTCCTCCTCCTCCTCCTCCTCCTCCTCCTCCTCCTCCCCCTCTTCCTCCTCCTCCTCCTCCTCCTCCTCCCCTCCTCTTCCTCCTCCTCCTCCGCCTCCTCCTCCTCCTCCTCCTTCTCCTCCTCCTCCTCCTCCTTCTCCTCCTCCTCCGCATCCTCCTCCTCCTCCTTCTCCTCCTCCCCCTCCTCCTCCTCCTTCTCCGCCTCCTCCTCCTCCTCCTCCTTCTCCTTTTCCTTCTCCTTCTCCTCCGCCTCCCCCTGGTTGGTGGAGCTCGTCGTCGGGGGTTCGCAGCCCTTGCCCTGCCCCGCCGGGTGCCTCCCGTATCCGCTTGCGCCTGCTGACCCCCACACAGCGGCGGCGGCGAGCGAGGGGAGGAGGAGAAGTCGAGGAGGAGGAGGTGGAGGAGGAGGAGCAGGAGCAGGAGGAGGAGGAGGAGGAGGGAGGAGGAGGGGGAGGAGGGGGAGGAGGAGGTGGAGAAGTGGAGGAGGAAGAGGAGGAGGAGGAGGTGGAGGAGAGGAGGAGGAGGAGGAGGTAGGGGTTCTCGATGGCGAGCGAAGGGGTACACGAGAAGAAGAAGAAGAAGAAGAAGAAGAAGAAGAAGAAGGCCGCGGGACCTCGGGGGGCAGCCCCCGCGCCTCCGGAGAGAAGCTGTTCTCCTGCGTCTTCGGGGACAGGCTCCTGGAAACACCTCTCAGAAGGCCGGGGAGCTCCCGAGCCTTCTGAGGAGGCCTGCTCGCTCGCCGCCGAGTCACGGGCCCGCGCGCCCGCGCGCGGCCGCGCGGCGGAGCCCGGCGCCGGGGCGCCCGCTGCGGGCGCAGAGCTCCTGCCCATGGGCCCCGCCGGGGGTGCCTCGGGCTCAGCGGAGGCGGCCTCGGGCCCCGCTCGGAGAGGTGCTCTGCGGGGGGGCAGGCCTCGGCGGGAGGCCGCGGGCGCCTGCCTCTCTGGCCACGTGGGCGGCTCGGGCCCCTGCGGCCGCGCTCGAAGAGGAGCAAAAAGGCAGAAGCATAAACGTTTGGCGCTCCGCGCGGATTTCTTGCGTCCGCGCTGGGCCCCCCGCCCCCCGGCGGCGCCTCCGGCGCCGCCCCTGGCGCGCTCCGCGCGCGCCAGGGAGGGGGGTCCAGCGCAGATCCAAGAAATCCGCGCGGAGCGCCCAAAAGTATATGTGTATGCCGTTTGTTGTTCCACTTTCGGTCTCTGCTCGCTCGCTCGCTCCTGCTCCTTCTCCTTGCGTCACCTCGCGGATGGTAATCGTAAGGATTGCTGTGGTGGTACCAGACAGGGCGTATGGCCCAAGGGTTTACAGTAAAGCTAAGCTCCCGCATCGCTTCCTCCTTCGGGGAAAGGAAATGACAGAAACCTATTTTTTTTTTAGGTCCTGAGGGGTTTGCTCGGATCGGCGACGACCCCCTCCGTGGCGCGCGGAGCGTGCCAGGGGCGGCGCCGGAGGCGCCGCCCAGGGGTCCAGCGCCGATCCGAGGAATCAGTGCGGACCTCCGGCAGTTTATGTTCATGCCACTGTTTGCTTCCCTTCCCTCTGCTCCTCGAGGGCTCCGAGCAGATGGGATCGGAGGACCGCGCCGCCTCACCGCTGCATCGGCGATGCGGCTCGATGTGGACCCTGATTTTCTCCACGCCATCGGCGCCGATGCATCGCCGACGCCACCGATGCATCGCCGATCGCGGAGTCGCCATCGGGGGCCTACCGCCGATTCCAGGTCGACGTTTTCCCCCCTAAGTCTGGGGCGGCACAGAGGGGGGTGATGACGAGAAGGGGAGGTGGCCATCATGGCGTGGGCCATGACATCTCCCCAGATGCCATGGCGCCTCCTCTCATTTCCTTACGTTCCCGGCACCCCCCTGGGCCGCGCACATGCCGCTGGCCAAGATTTGCCCCTCCCCCTCCCCCTCTCTCCCTCTCTCCCTCTTGGACGCCCCCTCCCTTGGCCGACCCCGACTGTGCCAGTCCCCTCGACCGTGGCCCCTCCGCAGACATGGAGTCGGGCGCGTGGCGTAGCGACGGGTCCCACGTCCGTGCAGCATCGGCGCGCGCCTTCGCCAAAGAGGGGGGGCGGCATTGGCGCCAGGCTTCGGGGGTGTGTCTGTCTCGATCCGTGGATCTATAGCAGGTGCCCACGTGCCCACGCGCGAGATTCACGGTGCACTCATCCGTGTTCGCGTATGCCTGAAAAGAGGAGGAGGAGGAGGAGGAGGAGGAGGAGGAGGAGGAGGAGGAGGAGGAGGAGGAGGAGGGGGAGGGGGAGGGGGAGGGAGGAGGAAGGAGGAGGAGGGGAGGAGGAGGAGGATGGAGGAGGAGGAGGAGGAGGAGGAGGAGGTTTGGAGGTTCGGAGTTTCGAGGCTCCTCTCGACGATTCGCCGTTCCTGCCCGCGCCGGGGTGTTGTCCTCGCCACGGGCGGGTCCGCCCCGACATGCTGGTCGGAGGGCGCCCCTGGACTGGTCCAGCGGCCGCGTGTTGAGAGCGGAGGCGACAGCAGCATGGGGGAGGCGGAGGAGGATTATATGTAAATAACATCCGCCGCTCTGCGGTTGATCGGGAGTTTCTGTATATATAGAAGAAGGGGCGCGCGCTTCTGGGCGAGAGGGAAACGACCGAGAGAAGAAGGGGCGGCCGCCCCACAGGACCTCTCCATGGTGCCGGAAGCCCATCAAGGCTCCCTCAGGGCCCCTCCCCCAGGGCCGGGGTTCCTCGCCTGCCCCCTCCCCCTCCTCTTCCTCCTCCTCCTCCTCCTCCTCCTCCTCCTCCTCCTCCTCCTCCTCCTTCGCCCCCGTCGGCATATCCAGGCGTGTTATGCAGTCAGGTCGTCCGTCCGGAAACGGTGCCGGAGGCCGCTCTGGGCTCCTCTGGGCATCCCCCCCGGGGCCCGTTTTGTGAGGATGTCTCAGGCGAGGGCGCCGTTTTGGGATTCGTCACCGGATCCAGCGGATCCAGCGGATCCGTCCGGAAACGGTGCCGGAGGCCGCTCTGGGCTCCGCTGGGCATCCCCCCCGGGGCCCGTTTTGTGAGGATGTCTCAGGCGAGGGCGCCGGTTTGGGATTCGTCACCGGATCCAGCGGATCCAGCGGATCCAGCGGATCCGTCCGGAAACGGTGCCGGAGGCCGCTTTGGGCTCCTCTGGGCATCCCCCCCGGGGCCCGTTTTGTGAGGATGTCTCAGGCGAGGGCGCCGGTTTGGGATTCGTCACCGGATCCAGCGGATCCAGCGGATCCGTCCGGAAACGGTGCCGGAGGCCGCTCTGGCTCCTCTGGGCATCCCCCCCGGGGCCCGTTTTGTGAGGATGTCTCAGGCGAGGGCGCCGGTTTGGGATTCGTCACCGGATCCAGCGGATCCAGCGGATCCGTCCGGAAACGGTGCCGGAGGCCGCTCTGGGCTCCTCTGGGCATCCCCCCCGGGGCCCGTTTGGTGAGGATGTCTCAGGCGAGGGCGCCGGTTTGGGATTCGTCACCGGATCCAGCGGATCCAGCGGATCCAGCGGATCCAGCGGATCCGTCCGGAAACGGTGCCGGAGGCCGCTCTGGGCTCCTCTGGGCATCCCCCCCGGGGCCCGTTTTCTGAGGATGTCTCAGGCGAGGGCGCCGGTTTGGGATTCGTCACCGGATCCAGCGGATCCAGCGGATCCAGCGGATCCAGCGTATCCGTCCGGAAACGGTGCCGGAGGCCGCTCTGGGCTCCTCTGGGCATCCCCCCCGGGGCCCGTTTTGTGAGGATGTCTCAGGCGAGGGCGCCGGTTTGGGATTCGTCACCGGATCCAGCGGATCCAGCGGATCCAGCGGATCCGTCCGGAAACGGTGCCGGAGGCCGCTCTGGGCTCCTCTGGGCATCCCCCCCGGGGCCCGGTTTGTGAGGATGTCTCAGGCGAGGGCGCCGGTTTGGGATTCGTCACCGGATCCAGCGGATCCAGCGGATCCAGCGGATCCGTCCGGAAACGGTGCCAGAGGCCGCTCTGGGCTCCTCTGGCATCCCCCCCGGGGCCCGTTTTGTGAGGATGTCTCAGGCGAGGGCGCCGGTTTGGGATTCGTCACCGGATCCAGCGGATCCAGCGGATCCGTCCGGAAACGGTGCCGGAGCCGCTCTGAAGAACGCTGCCCGCTATCAATGGGGCCTCACGCCGCCATATCAATGGGGCCTCCGACAAGATGATGATGATGATGCTGATGAGAAGATGCTGATATTTTGCGAATGCGGATGTGATGATGATGCTGATGATGATGATGCTGATGGTGATGATGATGCTTATGATGATGATGATGATGATGATGATGATGATGATGATGATGATGATGATGATGATGATGATGATGATGATGATGATGATGATGATGGGGATGATGATGATGATCCTCCTCATCCTCCTCCTCCTCCTTCTCCTCCTCCTCCTCCCCACAACCCTTGGGACCCGTCCAGGGGCGTGTGGTTCGCGTGACAACCACTTAGGGCATCTGGTTCGCTTCGCGGTGTCGTGTTGAAAAAAAACTCTCCTCCTCCTCCTCCTCCTCCTCCTCAGCGGTGGCGTGGTTCGCGGGACAACCACTTGGGGCATCTGGTTCGCTTCGCGGGTGTCGTGTGAAAAAAACTCTCCTCCTCCTCCTCCTCGGGCCTCTGCCTCCTCCTCCTTCTCCCTTTCCTCGTCGCTGTCCTCCTCCTCCTCCTCCCCCTCCTCCTCCTCCTCCTTTTTTTCCGCAAGTGATTGGGAAGGGGGGGGAGGGAAGACAGGGGGGAAGTGAAGAAGTGAGGAGGAGGGGGAGGAGGAAGGAGGAGGGGGAGGAGGAGGAGGAAGTGAAGAAGTGAGGGGGGCTTGCCTGGGCTTGCTAGGCTCGGAGGAGTAGGCGCAGCGCGTGGCGCCATAAACTGGCGTCGTCATCGTTGTTGTCGTCGTCGTCGTCGCGTCCTCCTTCTCCTCCGCCCCCTCCTCCTCCGCGCGTGCGCTGTCTTGTCGAGCCTGCTCTCCGTGGGTGGTGGTGTCTTGGGGGGCCCTCGTCGGCACGGCTGGATTCGCTTCGAAATCGCGGCCTTCCTGGGCTTGCCTGGGCCTCCTGGGGCCTGCGCCTTCCTGGGTCTCCTGAGCTCTGGGCCTCTGGCTGAGCCTTCCTGGGCTTCTTGGGTTTTGCTCGGCCTCCTGGGACAGCAGGGGGCGCCTCTTAAGCCATCTCGGGCCTCCTTGGTTTTCCTGGTTGGACCTCTTGGGCCATCTTGGGCCATCTTGGGCCTCCTCTTGGAGCCATCTTGGGCCATCCTGGGGGCGCCTCTTGGGCCATCTGGGGCCATCTTGGGCCTCCTCTTGGAGCCATCTTGGGCCATCCTGGGACTTCTGGGCTTTCCTGGCCACAGGACGGCCTCCACCAGCGCCTGAGGGTGGCCGAGGCGCCACCACCACCACCACCACCCACCAGCACCTCCAGCAGCTCGTCGAGCTGCTCAGCCTGCGGGCGGGCGCCGCGGGCGGCGCCGGGCGCGGCGATGGCCGCCGGCGCGGCAGTGGCCAGGCCAAGCCAGCCGCATCTCTCTCGCGAGGAGGAGTGAGGAGAGGGTTAATGAGGAGGAAGAGTGAGAAGAAGGAGGAGGGAGGAGAGGTAAGGAGGAGGAGGAGGAGGAAGAAGAGAAAAGAGTGGAGAGTGGGGAGGAGGAGCGAGGCGTTTTCGGTGATGGCAGTGCACGCCGAGACTCGAGCCTCGAGGATCGAGGTTCGAAGTTTTCCCACCCTCGGGGGCCCTCCTCGACGCCGCGGCTGAACGCGGCGCGAAAAACTGGGAGTCCAGGGACCCCTTCGCCCTGTCCTCCCCTTCCCCCTCGAGGCGTTGGGTCCCCAAGGCAGGGAGGACCTCCTAGTCAGCGACGCGGGGTCGACGACGACGACGACAGCGGCGACGATTGGCCCCGCCTCTGCCCTCCTTCTGCGCCTGGCCGAGCATGGGAGAGGAGGCCAGGGGGAGAGGAGAGGAAAGGAGGGGGAGGGGGAGGAGGAGGTGGAGGGAGGAGGAGGAGGAGGAGGAGGAGGAGGATTTGCGGTGGGCGAAGAGACTGGGCGTAGTGGGGCAAGAGTGGCGGGAGGAGCAGGAGGAGTAGAGAGGAGGAGCTGGAGCTGCCTCCCCAGCGCGTGCGGTCGTCGTCGTCGTCGTCGCCGTCGCCGTCGTCGTCGACAACGACGGCGACGATGACGACGCCGCGACGACGACGACGACGGCGACGACGACAGCACTGGCGACGACGGCGACGACGACGACGACGTCGGCGACGACGATCGACGACCAGGAGCCCGCCTCCGCCGGCCACGCCGCGGGCTCCCACTGGCCTCGTCGTCCTCGTCGTCGTCGTCGTCTTGGAGGTCCGACATACTACGCTCTGCCATGCGTCCTGTACCCTCTCGGAATCATTGCGTTGCTCGACATTTGACTGTGCGAATAAAATAAAGAGTAGATCTACGTCACACGCGAGGGGTTGAATACAGATTTCGATATGGTAAGCTCTGACAGCGACGACCGCAGCTCTTCGCCAGGCCATGAACGACCACGCACCTGCCATGGCATGAAAATCGCCGCAACTCAAAGTTCTCCTTCTCCTCCTCCTCCTCCTCCTTCTCCTTCTCCTTCTCCTTCTCCTCCTTCTCCTCCTCCTCCTCCTCCTCCGACCTCTGCTCAGTTGCCCCCTATACGTCGGCCTCGAACTCCACTGTGTAGCGAATTGAGTAGCGCGTCTTCGCGTGGACGGGGAGCTTAACTTTGCCGCTCGTCATCTCAGCGAAGACCAGCGCCGCCGCTGGCGGCATGGTAGCCGTGTCCTTGTACATGTGGCTGCACTGGACGATCGTCTGAGTTTCCGCGGGGTGGCCGACTGCGTTGAAGTTCACCCTCTGGAGCTTGTGGTCCACATCGCCGCTGTCAGGGCACTCAGCGAAGGGGCCCTTGCCTTGGCAGCAATGTGGGGGCGGGGCGGCCTTTGTGCCGGGCTGCTCTGGGGCGGCGGGGCCTCCTCCATAGTGGGCGGCGCCTCGACTGCGGGAAGCGTCGCCGGGAGCTCCGACGTGGGAGTGGGCGCCTGCCGGGCCCGCGACGGGCGCACGACCGGTCTGCCGTCCGCTGTGCGCGGGCTCTGCCAAGTTTTCCCGTCGCCCGTGCCCTCGAGGTCCACGATCTGCTGCTTCCCGAGGCAGCCCGCCTTGCCTCTCTTGCCGAGCCAATCGCTGCGGGCCTGTGGGTCGTACTTCACCACCTCCTCCTTGGTGGGGGCCCCGGTGGCGTCGAGCCCGAGCATGTCTTCATGGCGGAACGAGTCGTTGGGGAGGGCCAGTGAAGCAGCCGCCTGAGAATCTTGAAACCCGTCCAACTGAGTCTCGCTCACAGGCTGCGACGACGCGTCGTACATGCCCAGCTGAGAGTCCTGCATCCCCAAGGCATATCTCGCCCTGTGCGGCTGGACGGGGCTCAACAAAAATGTAAGAACTGCGACCCTGCTTAACCCATTTCAGAATAAGGGCGCGAGTGCTCCTGTCCATTCGGGCGCAAGGTGACCAGGCAGCAGCCTTCGAAAGTGGCGACAGTTTCGCAGAGCGCAGCCCCCCAGGGACGACGAGGACAAGCCAGGTAAAAGGCAGGAGAGAAGAGGAGGAGCGAAGGGAGGAGGAGAAGGAAATCAAGAGAAGCGAGGAGGAGGGAAGAGAGGAGGGGGCAGGGAGGAAGGAGTGGAGACCGCAGTGCTCTATTCAAACCCTCTTGTGCCCCTCTTCGGGCCCTCTTGGGCCCCTCTTGGGCCAGCTTGGGCTGGGTTGGGGCCATCTTGGGGCGCGTGGTGGGCATCGAGAGTATGGGATATACATGTCGGTTTACACGCGAGCGCATGAGAACGAACGGCTTTAAAGTTGTTGTTGTTGTTGTTGGCGTTGTCGTCGTCGTCGTCGTTCCCGCGGGTGGGTCGCGGCGCAGGTGGGTCGCAACGCAGGCCACCAACGTGACATGACGTCCAGGTCGGGCCCTCTCCGGGGTCCAACCTGACAAGTTTTTCGAGCTGCGATCAGCTGTGGTGACGAGAGGACCACGCACTGCCAGAAAACGAAGGGGGGCGCGCCCATGCAGAGAGAGGGGGAACGGGAGGGGGGGCAAACTTCCTCCCCTTGCTCCCCCTCTTCGCCCTCCCCCCTCCCTTCCCCTCCTCGCTCCCTCCATCGTCGTCGACGACGTGGTTTCTCCTCCTCCTCCTCCTCCTCCTCTTCATCGAGACGGGACGTTTTCGACTGTCGTCGGCCTCTGGGGGGTCCTCCTATCCGGCGGGCCCTGGGGTCGCGAGAAAACGGCTTGGCACGAGCGGCCAGACCCAGGGAAAGGGGTCGAGACCTCCAAGGCGAACGCTGATCCCCATCTGCCCCTTCCTCCTCCCCATCCCCCTCCTCCTCCCTCTCCTCCCCCACCACAGCCATTTTGGCTAGCCAGGCGAAACCAATTTTGGTGCGTGTGAGCTGTGCCTGACGGCCATTGCTTGCTCTGTGACACTTGCGCAGATGGCCGAGCCCTCGGACCCGACCGCTGGCCAGAACAACGTATTGCCAGTGCCAGAGGGGGACTTCGGCAGGCGGCTGAACGATGATGACGTCGAGATGGATGATAGGTCGACACTGCCAGGCGGTGGCACTGGCCACGAATCATTGGGCTCTTCGATGGTAGATATTAATGATGGCGTTCGTGGTACGGCCAAGAGGCTCCACGCGGCGTTTGTGCGAGAGACCCTGGTAGCTGGCGGCCCTGACAAGTACCTCCAGAAGAAATATGACACACCAGAGAAAAAGCTTCAGTTTGCTGAGAAGTTGGTAAAGCTACTGCCGCTCAGCTTCCAGCACGAGTACAGCCTTAAGAAAATGTTGCCCACTGTTGGAGAAGGCGAGCTCAGCGAACAGAACGCGATGTTCATTCACCCCGCGGCCCTTTCCTTCTCAGCGGATGCGACGTCCCACGACTTTGTGGACCATGCCAAAGTGACCAAGATAGCAGCAGAGATGTGCTCAGATGGTTGCGTCACACAAGGAGACGAGCTACTGTGCTTCCAAGGCCCTGAGCTCGCCGACGATATGCTGAAGATGTCCACCGAGTTTTCAGGGTGCGCGCAAGAGGAGACGACCAGTTACTTCAGCTTCGGGTACATCAAGGGCTTCGCCCGTTCTACCACGTTGCTCACGCTGCTGGACCTCTTCATGGTTGACTTACCGGACGATGATATCAAGGCCATCCTGCCCCAGTTCGCCAATGCCAACGTTATTGCCATCAGGGTCCCTCCTCCTCCTCCTCCTCCTCCTCTTTCCCCTCCTCCTCCTCCTCATCCCCCTTCTCCTTCTCCTCCTCGTCTTCCTTCTCTTCCTCCTCCTCAGCTTCCCCCCCCAAGTATCCTCGCCCTCGTCTTCCCCTGTCCTCCTCGTCCTCCTCCTCCTCCTCCTTCCCCTCCTCCTCCCCCTCTTCCTCCTTCTCCTCCTCCTCCTCCTCCTCCTCCTCCTCCTCCTCCTCCTCCTCCTCCTCCTCCTATCGCTAGGTCATGGCGCAGGGGGACAAAATCAACGCTGCGCTGATGAATTGCAAGCGGTCGCAAAGGGGCGCGATCCGCCGCCCGTGGAACGTGATCACCTGGGCAGGCGTCATCCGGCGCTTGAAATCGCACGGCGTCGACGACGCTGCTTCTGTGATCAAGCGGTGGAACGACATGGCAGGCATGTCAGCAGAGAACCGCATGGTTGGCGCGAAACGCACGGCCCTCCTCAATCTGCTCAACATAAGCGATAGCGCGCTCGACCTGATCATTGCGCTCGTCAGCGAGTTCACGTGGGAGCAGTGCCCGTTCACGGAGGAATTCCTGGGCAGCACCAAGCTCAAGATCGGCGCCACCATTCGAACCCAGAACAAGGAGTGGATGGCCCGTTTCCGCGTGTCCAACGCGTCGCTGGAATTGTTTTGCGCGTTCCTCCAGGCTCGCTATCGCAGGTCGATCTCTTCCTCCAGGCGGAAAATGCAGAAGTCTGAGCTGGAGGACTGGTTGCACATCGTCAGCATGGCCCATAACATGGTGCAAGAGATCACAGCGCAGGTCCCAGTGGATGATGCGAAGATCCAGAAGGACAGATGGGGGCGCCAAATGATTATGCCTGCTCCTCTTGCGCGCCCCCTCCCTCCTTTTGTCCCCCCTCTGTCCTCCTTCCCCCTCCTGCCAATGCCTATGCCGCCCCAATCCTCCTTCCTCTGCGTGCCCCTGCCCCCCTGTGCGCAT